TCTGGATTTATAATAAAATTCTTTAAATTTTTGTTAAATTGAATGAGCAGAATTCTAAACAACATATTCGTATCTCAAATACTTGTTAAAAGTATTAAAAATTAATTTTGTATATACTATTGGTAAAAATTTTGAAAAGAATGTTCTTATTTAAATTTTTTCATAGTATTGTTACGAAAGAAACCCCGGCGGCCGGGCTGCGTTCGCTAAAGAAAAACCTGGAAGCGGAACTTACGAAACGATTATTCCAGTTAGAGCAGAAATCAAACCCGGATTTGCTTTCGGCACACCCCCAAGAAGAGTCTCATGATTGCTAGTGCTTTAATCAATACCGCAAATGACATGCCTGTACGCGTCGGAAATGTTTTTCCCAAACCCATCAACATTAAGAGTGGGGAGGTTCTTGCCGTCTGTGAACCAGTCCCGAAGGACTTTCTGATAACAGTGATGCAGAAATAAAAAGCAACTTAGAAATTCCTGCTCTAAAGCTTGGTCATCTAACCCATCATCAACGGGAAGCAGCAGGAGAGGTTCAGTAGAAACACAGTGGAATGTTTGCATCTGGACAGTCTCCTGGGCGCACAAACATAGTGCGACATCAGATAAACACTGGAGATGCACAATCCATCCGTCAGGCTCCGCGAAGACTACCTTTGGCAAAACAAGAAGAAAACGAGAATCTGGTACGGAAAATGCTGGATAAAGGCGTTGTAGAGGAATCAAGCAGTACATGGTCTTCGCCTGTAGTGCTAGTCACCAAAAAAGATAGGTCGACGAGATTATGCGTAGACTACAGGAAACTAAACGATGTAACCAAGAAAGACAGTCACCCGCTTCCACGAATTTATGACACACTTACAATATTATCAGGATCCGCCTGGTTTTCCACGTTAATCCTAAAAAGCGGCTACTGGCAAGTTGGTATTCATCTAGAAGAAAAGGAAAAGATTGGTTTTTCTGCCGGACCTGCCTGTTTCAATTTACCGTAATTTCTTTTGGAGTCTGTAACGCTCCGGCTAATTTTGAGAGACTAATGGAGATGATATTACGAAGGTTAACATGGAAAACATGTTTGGTTTATTTAGACGGCATCATGGTGATGGAAAAGACATTTGAGGAGTACTTGACAAACCTAAAAGAAGTTTTTAGTCGAATGAAGAAGGCAAACTTGAAGCTTAATCCGAAGAAATACCTCCTCTTCTAAAAAGAAGTCGAATTTCTGAGGCATACCGTTTCGACAAACGAGATCAAGACTACCGGAACGATCAGTCCAATTCGCGATTGGCCAAAACCAAGAGATAAGCACGAAGTCCGAAGTTTTTTGAGATTACGTACGCACGTACTACAGAAGGTTTGTCAACGGGTTTGTTGATATTGCTGCTCCTCTGCACAAGCTGACGAATTTGAAGTCTCAGTTTAATTGGACTTCTGAATGTGAAACAGCCTTCAAAAGATTGAAGAATGCACTATGCTCTAGCCCTATTCTGTCCTATCCGCAATCATCGGGAATGTTCATCTTGGACAAGGACGCAAGCAACATCGAAATAGGTGCTGTATTGTCACAGGTGCAGGACAAAGAAGAAAAAGTCATCGAGTCCTTCATTAGCCTACTTTCGAAATCCGAGAAGAACTACTGTGCTACGAGGAAAGAGCTGTTGGCGATTGTCAGGGCTGTTGAACACTTCCATATGAACGCGAATTCCTGATTAGAACCGATCACGCAGCCCTCACATGGCTCCTTCAGATGAAAAAGGACAAGTGGCTAGATGGCTTGGACGACTCCAACATTATCATTTCAAAATTCGACACAGGGCTGGTAAGCTCCACAATAATGCGGACTCATTGTCGAGAAGACCGTGTAAGAATTGCAAACACTGAGACAAGGTCGAGCCGCGCGAAACATCGTTCAACTGTGAGAGGACAGCAGTTGTAGAAGATGAAGAATGGACTACATTCCAGCTTAGAAAAGACCAAGAGGAGGATGTGGATATCGGTTTGTTGCTCAAATGGAAACAAGATGGTGCTCATTTTGGAATCAACAAGACGGTTTCTAAAGTCAGGGAGAGATTCTACTGGGTCCATTGTAAGAGACGTACGACCTGTGCGGCAGTCGAGGGACCGAGGACTAGAGCGAGAGGGTCGATGCAACAACACAACGTCGTATCGCCTTTCGAAAGAATTGCAGTGGACATAGCAAGTCCTTTCCCGGTGACCGAGGCCGGGAATAAATACATAATGATTGTCAGCGATTACTTCAGCAAATGGCCCGAAACTTTTGCCATACCGAACCAAGAAACCACGACGGTTGCGAAAATGCTGATTAACAATTGGATTAGCAGGTTTGGGGTCCCAATGAAAATCTATTCGGACCAAGGCAGAAACTTCGATTCAAACCTATTCCAAAAAGTTAGGTACTGAAGTATTAGGGATACGGAAGACACGGACTACACAAAACATCTTTCGAAGGTGATGACCGAACATCAAAAAGATTGGGATCGACCCCTTCCACTGTTCCTACTGCCTTATCGATTAACTGTCCATAACACGACTGGTCGTACACCGGCACGCATAGTTTTCGGAAGAGAACTTCGTCTGCCTTGTGACATATTGTCCCAGTGCAGAACCAAAGGAGGTCATAGACTAGGTCGATGACTTGAAGGAGAAGCTGCTGAGCGTTCACGAAACGGTGCACCAAAAGATCCGGGTGGCGAGTGACAGAATGAAAACACGCTACGATCTTAAGGGTAACTCAGTAGGATTCCAGGCAGGAGTTTGGTATGGATTTATAATCCCCGAAGAAGGAAAGGTAGTTGCCCGAAGTTGTCACCACACTGGGAAGGTCCATATACCGTCGTGACGAGAATCAACGATGTTGTTTACAATATTCGACGAGGGCCGAAGACGAAAATGTAGATTGTTTGGCCCGCCTGATGAAGTACAACAGTGACACCGTCGACGTTTCTGATCGGGACGAGGAGCAGTTGTTACGAAAGAAACCCATACGCCGCACCGATACGACACCTGTGCGTTCTAATATGTACGGCGATGATGACTCATCGTCGGTGGCGACGGCCGGGCGGCGTTCGCTAAAGAAAAGCCTATAAGCGGAACTTGCGATGTGTATTCCAGAAAGACCCCGATCGCCTAACATCTAGAACGAAGTCTGGGTTTCAGTAGGGACCACCATTAAAATAAATTTTGTCAAAAAAATCACTCACACTATTTTCTGTTGCAGTTTTTTATTTGTTCGGAAGGTAATACGACAGGTGTCAGTAATTCCATTACTTGGAATTGATTTTTATATATTTTTTTTTCGGAAATAAAGGAATAAAATCATCTTCGGGTTTATTTTCTGTAAAAAAAAAATAATATTGATGAATCACAAAGTATATAGGATACCCCATTTTGCCTTGCCCTCTCTTCCCCTAATAGCAAATACTTAATTACGCACAATAGTAAATTTCACTTGATATTTATGCAAATAGTTTTATCTAAGTTAGTGTTCTTACTTTTTTACCAAGCAAAATGTTTCATGGGCATGACACGTTTGTTGTTGATAAAATCCTTCGTGTTGATGTCTTGATCGACGAGTTTGGCAAGTCATAGAAATAAGTTTTATGTAAATTTTTATTTTCCATAAGTTTATAAACCTCACGACGCCAACAACAACGTTGTGAAACAGTTATGTACTTCAAGAATTTTGTTAGATATTGTCCTCTGTTACCTAACAATAATTACTTTAAACAACCAGTCGAATAACACAGTGTTCATACAAAGCACTGTTAAAAGTGCGTAACGCAATTACGTAAACGTTCGCACAACTGACAAGAACGTCCTTAATGGAGAATAAGTAAACATTTCCAAAATAAACACATATTTTAACGACTTAAAGTTAGAACTGTAATAGCTGGAATTTCAAAAAATGAAGATGTTAAATTTACAAGAACATTATTAAAATTATCTTTCACATAAATGGAATTAAATTAAATCAAAATTGAAATCCGAAAGTCTCTTAAACTGTAGATATATAACATTAAACATTTTTTATTGAAATTGAATAGAATTTGTAAAGTTATAGTTTAAGAAGGTATACTTTCTAAATTTCCAACAAACGGACAGGCGGAACAGAAAACCTCAATTTTCAAAACAATACACAGAGAGGTCCACAGACAGATGGACGGAAAAAACTACTTGTTTGTGAAATAATAGTAAAAATTGTCTAGTAAAATACGGTTTGTTTTTTTTTTCGGTGTGTTTAGAACCTCATTACCGTGTAAATTGACTATTGTTTTATATTGTTTCCGGTCACCTTGAAACACAGTTTTAAACTCGAATTGCAAACGGCTATAAATTTTGTGTTTACTAATGTTTTACAAAAACAATAATCTTTTAAAAAAGTAAACAAAACCAAAATCAAGTACACGATACATTTTGTTTCCTCAAACGTATTTTATTTTCTATACTAGTAGTAAAACTGAAGTCATTTTAATACGATTGATTGAGATGAAACATCCTATGTTAATATCGCGATAAAAAAAAATAGAAAATAATTTGGTTTTCCGTCTTGTTTCATCAAATGTGTAACTAATGTTCCAGCATTTATAACTTACCTACCTTTGTAAGTGCTTGCGTCCAATTACTGTCATCAAAAACTAATCAAGTAGAAACAATATCGCATATTATATCTACACCAACGCAAATCTGATTCCATCTAGCTGATGTTTTTTGATTAAACAATTCGGTCGATAAAACACGCAATTATAATCAAAAAGCCGTTCGCTTTATTGAAAATGTTGGGAAGTGAAAATCAATTGTCGATCATAAACAGTGTCGGCTTTATAATGAACCAGCATTTCTGTTGATAGAGAAACGGCTATTTATACCCAGTGAATCCTTGACCTGCAAATGGCAAAAAAAAATGAGAATAAAATTTTCCAACAACATCCACGTCACGAAGAAATGCATAAATCGTAGATTAAACAGTACTCGATTAGACACGAACGTGTCTGCATATCCAGTATTTGTTAATTCTAAGGTCAAACCGCCCCCAACTCACTGCCGAGTCACTTTAATTCGATGTAAATAAATAAGCATTAGCGCATGTGTTCTAGTAACGTGCTTAAAATGAGTCAGTTTTAATATAACCGCAAAGAGGGGTTACAGTGCTGCACTTCCAGCGAGGTCTATCATTCTCACTCAGTCCATAGTAGAACGAATGTATTCAACTTCGATTATACATACGTAACTTTCGCTGTTTACAAACTGGTTAAAATTAACAAAAGTACATGTGGTGAAAGTTAAAAAAATGGTTGATAATGTGGAAGAAATTCGTAAAAATAATGTTTTGCATTTACCCCAGCGCCCCGCCGTGGATATCGAATTTTTGGATTTAACGTTTACAGTACCCCAAGGGAGAAAAGGTCAGATTTTTTTATAATTTAAATCATATTTTGTGTTATCGGAAGGTGATATTTTTAGTACCGTGATTTGAAGTTCGCTAACTGAACTTTGACCACACTTTTTTGGTTGCATGCCGTAGTGATTTTAATTTTTGTTGATAATTTTTAGACTGCACATTCATAAAATGTTTATAATTAATTTTCAATACAAATAAGCATTGAAGCTGCATTTGTTTTGACAGAAGCTCCTGCGTTAATCTGCTTTAAATACCGTCGTAAGAAGTGTTTATAAACTTTAACTTCTAGCCATGCTTTGACCTTATAATAGATTATAAAATTTGGGTTGCTAAAATTATCCTTGTTTCAGAAGTTCTCCGATCAAATGTGCCACTTAAACACATATACAGTGTGATTAATTAAATTTGTGCTCGTCGCCGGCTAGTACTTTTAATGTCCGCTATTACAGGAAGTCGTACACATTTATACTCGTTTCGTTTAGAATTTACCTCATAAAATTTTATGATAATATTGAACTCCTAACGATGGGGTGGACATGAGGTAAATCCAATTGTTGGTAGATACAGCTACAGGATCAGACTCTTGTAAAGTGGGATATAAACATATATAATTTTATGAGGTGTATCCTAAACGAATAGACTATACTCACTACTTCTTTTGAGTGTGTATAATTTACAAACAACTTCAGAACAGAGCGACTCTAAATAGTATATATTGAGCGATGTACAGTATCATCTACTTTTTGCTTGCTATCAATGTGTGAATATTATATAGCATGATAATTTGGAATATCAAAACAGTAAGTCAGTGTTAACATCAGTTAAAAAAACAGTAATGTGTAAGATAATTTGATCGTCACCGAAAATGAAGAATTATACAACATAATTACGAGAATTATGATGTGATCATATTTATTTAACGATAGTTGATATTAGGTAAATATACAGACGGTCCCCAGTTAAATTAAGAAAAAAGTTATTGTTACTCTTATCCATTATTAATATAACCATTATGAAAGATATTAACGAACTAATAAATGTAAATGCTTTGGAGCACGTGCATTTTTTAGAAGAAGTCTTGAGTAGACCTTGTATCTAATGAAATCAGATTATCGGAATATTTCTATAGGTTTTATCTCGTGTTTAGCGTCGCATAAAAAGGTAAATGAAAACGAAGGTAGTCACAATTTAGTAACGATTGGCTAAAGTTTAACGTTTATTGGAACCAAGTCCCCAAGGTACAGGATGCATGTTCCAATTATTATTACTAATAGAAAGGATTAATTTCGGATATATACTTCAAAAAATCTGCAAAGATGACCCTGAACTATTCTTCTGTCACAGAAAAACATTCGCACATTTGTTTGTCAATATATTAGGAATGAATAAATAAATTAATTATTATTTAATTGAAAATTCTGACACTCCTAAATCCACATTAGCGTCGTACCAAAATTTCTAAGAGATTCGTTTTATATTACATTATATATTATAATGGCTAGGATTTTATTTTTGTTACATGAGTACAACATGCAATGGGACTATAACCAACCGTAGTGTCAGAAATTTTATATAAGTTTTAGCTACACTATATACAGGGTGCCGCATGTAAAATCTCGTCGCCTTATATCTAGAGAACGGATAGAAATATTGAAATTCTGTAAACGCTACTGTTTTTAGCTTGAAGGGTTGACAGCCGAGCAAGCCTGGGAAAGACAATCAGCCGATTTAAACAAATTATCTATGTATTGGAGAAATTTGTGATGCAAAATGTGAAGGGGGAAATGGACAAATAATCACAATTGTTGTCATTTACCTCTCATCGAATAAAAGTGTAAATAAAACCATCGAATTCATTGATGAAAATTTGCTCATTTATACAACAGTAAGGTTTACACTGCTCAATTGCGACTTGCATTAATCAGCGATAATTTTGAGTGGGGATTTTAATATGGATTTTTCAAAAGGCCTTTAATTGATTTTTAAAAACGGCCGAGTTTTTTTTTTTTAGATATTTGGACAGATTTCAAGCAACAGTATTTATCTCCTGTTTTAATAGCCATAATAAGCCTATTGTTTCTTTTTTAGATTTTCATAATGATTATAAAAATAATAAGAAAATAAATAATTTTATTTTATAATTTATGCCTTGTACCTGATTCGTTTAAGTTATATCATCACTTATACACACTCGGTTTTTTAATTTTAAAAAGTAAGTTAGAATATGTATTTAAATGCTTTTGAAACAGATATTACTAGTTGTTTGTAAAACAAAGTGGTAGACCTTTATTTCACTCAACTTTCAATTTTTTTTATAGTTATACATTTGTTATCAATCGAAAATGAAATAAAAACCGAAGTGTTTTATACAGAACAACACGCCGACACTATATATGCGTCACATTTGCGTTCTCAAGATATAAAGCGATGGTGCCTGACCTGGGACACTGTGTATATATTATAGTATGGATGATACGATTTAGAATATAAGAAACACCCTTAATTGTCAACTATTTTTATTTTCATCTTTTTGTAAGATACACAACTAAAATATCACACAAATGTTCCAATCAGTAACAAACAAGATGATATTGTATTGCCTTGTATCTTATACAATATCAAATGACCTAGCCTAGAGCACTAAAACTAGCAAATTTACGCGTGCAAGGTACGCATCTAGTAGAAACCCGGGAGCTATGGTTCAAGAACTGTTAACGACAAGGATCATTTTGCAAGGGTAAAATTGTTTACATCAAAATCTTAAACTTTAACGTGGGTTAAAACATGGCTAGTCAAAGGTTACGTAGGAGTATTTCAAAAAACATCTAATCTTGTAGAATTAAGGCATTAATTTCAATTAAATTAATAAGAAATTGCGTCTACGTCAACGGTAAAACACAGTTGTGTAAAATTGTGACGTTTTATCATCTACAAAACGCATTTAGTTAGTGGAATGATTACAACATCTGAAAATTTAAATTTAAAGTGCAATAGTCTTTGCAAAAATAGTTATTCGTTTACTTGCAACTTACCGATCTTGTGGATGGTGCATAATAATAAGTAGTTTGTCAACTAAAAAATAATAATGTTACGAGTGCAGATGTGAAAAAATTACATAACCGCTGGTATAAGCAGAACCCACCAGCGTATATCAAGTTCATTATCAAAAGCACTATTAAAATTTAAATTAACTTTTTTTAGGATATGAAGTGTTACAAAATATTGCCATGAGCTAGTCCAACGAAATGTTTTCACTGAGTGTTTTGCACTGTTGTCTATTTCTCCATAACATTCCTCTAGATCACCGTGCAATTGAAACAAGTTTCCCCACTGTTGTTGCAACTGCAGCTTTTGTGTTAACGAAATACTTCTATTACTCGTAATGACTGAACTGTGATGCGTAACGTATCGAAAGGCATTTCAATAGCGTTTGATTTCACCATAAATCGCAAGTGTTTACTTAAAACGAGTTGTTTTAATTTGGCATAAGCGGCATATTAAAAAAAAGTTGCAGCGTGGTGTCGGGTTGTTTACCAATTTAAATATATTGAAACGATTGATTATAAAAAAAGTTTTAAAAATTTCCACATCGTCCAGTAGGAACACAAAAAACTACAAAATAATTTTACATTTACATGAGAATAAATAACATCGGTCAAAAATATTTCATGACAATACGTCCTCGAACATCGCTTCTCGAGGAGAATGATACATCCACACTTTATGAAATATTATTCATTAAGTATTAGCAATTTCAAAATGCGGTCATTGATAAGGATTGTGGTATTTTCAAGGAATTAAATAAATGTTGCCTTGGAGGTCAAGTTTAATTTGCATGTTTGCATTAATTGAATAGAAGCAAGATTTACGCAAATTTTGAACAAAATAGACGCACACATTTGTTGTTATAATTTCAACTTTGTGCATGACCGTTTAGTTTATATGCATTTATAAGGATTTACAAATTATCTAAATATTAACCTTGTTATCTCCTATTTACTAATGTTACTAAAACTTAAATTTGGCGACAGATTTGTAACATACAATATTTCTGTGGAAGTCATAAAACAGTGTTGTCCGTAATTGCAACGTTTATACGGTCACTGAACTCAGGTAACTCGCGAGGTGTAAAACGTTTTCGAATAGTCGCCGGTAACAATACGACGTAAAAAGTTTATGGGATAAGAAAATATGTTTCTGTTGTAGCTATCTTTAGAAAACGTTAATTTTTTTCTCTATCAAATACGTCAATGAGGCACATTATCTTTCGTCGAGTAATTTCCATTAAAGGAATAAATTATTGGTGATTTGAAAACAGAATGAGCGAAGACAAAAATTAAAATAACGTGTTTGTGCAATTAACAATATACATATATGTAGTTTTCATTCTGTAAACGAAAAAAAAATGATTGCTTTAAAAAATTGTTATGATGCAAGTAATAAAATGTTAGTATTACATGTAACGGGAATTATGCTCCAAACAACCCATCTGCATGACGTATAAAAACTGGTTGGTTCTCAATGAGATGTGGGGCAAACAATTTGGCATCTTAAATGTAGGACACTGTTTTGATAGTTCTGTGGTTGCTTATTGAACATATTTATTTGATATAATTACAAACAATCGGTTAAAAATCAGATGAATTTTTATTTTCTCTTAACTATAAGAGGTCATATTATGAACTCAACATCGTTAAAAGTTTGCACACACAAAATGTGTGCCAAAATAACTGTATAATCTGTATGGTGGTATCTAGTTTACAACCACTAAGTACATAGTTACAAAGTTTCCGAAATGGTTCCATCTCGTATTAGATTTACCCAGCCCCCTGTTATCTATGTCATGTCTCTGGTGTGTTGTATTTGAATTCGTCTATGTGCCTTGTACCACTGTTCCATTCGCCATTTGTTTTCAGTGTTCACAAATTCGAATTCCCTCTCGATTTCATAAGACTAGTTGTGGACGATTTTGGAAAGTGGTTTAAGATTTTCCAAAAATGTGAC